TTTTTTTTTTTTTTTTTTTTTTTTTTTTTTTTTTTTTTTTTTTTTTTTTTTTTTTTTTTAATTTCACTTCTATATATTCGAAGAAATTTCATAATTTTTTCGGACAGAATTACATAAATAATTTTGAATAAAATTTGAAGTTTTTCAAAATCTATAATTTAATAGCTAAAGAGAAAAAAAAAAAGAAGAAGAGAGAGAGATGATGGTAATGAGTTAATATGTGGGTCAATGGTTCATTTATATCACCGAGTGTGACGCAAAACAAAATTAAAAAATAAATAGATTACCATTATTTAAATTAATCTACACATTGTGTTTTTTTTTTTTTTTTATGTTGTTGAATTCAAAAAATAAAAGAAGGTGATCCGTACAAAAACAAAGGTTGATAAAATTGAATCCACGAAGAGACGGGATTCAAGGGTAGCTTCCATTTTCATCCTATCCTAGTAAATGGAGGAGGTGCAACCCAACCCCTCCGTGCAGAGCTTACAACATCCCTGCAGAGCTTACAACCATTGGAACTTCATTTTCATCCTCCATTGGATCAAAACAAAATCCCACTCCTTCCTGCATGCCCTAACCAAACCCACCACCTGCAACTTACACTATCCATTCCACTCCACAGGTGGGTTCACCTATGCAATTGCATACGTGGGGAAAGTAAATGAACAGTTTCAGAAGAGGAAACGGATTTGTGCTTGGGATTCACTGCCCTGCCTGCTCCATTCACTACACTGCTACTACTACTACCCTACAAAAAACATGTTCAAATAAGTTACTACACTCTTTTCCCAACTACATTGCTACTTAGCTTCAATTTCCGACATGTCCTTTCAGTTATATTGCTTTGCCCGCCCTAAAAACTATTGGATGGTATTACTCATTTTAATACTTTTGTTAATCCAAGTTCACATTTCATTTTTGAACCTTTAAAATTAACTTCCAAACATACACATAGTTTATCTGTAACAAGTGGGGCCTACACGCTTATTTTCGCATAAATATAATAATTTCCATAAGTAGGTTAATTAGATATATTCTATTGTTGACTTATCATACACTCATTTTCAAAAATTAGAATTCACAACACCAGTAATTCTCAACCCCAAATTAGGAATATTATTGGGCGATTCAGAAACATGTAGAAATAATCTCTTCTTTCTTTAGGATCAACCTTTCATCTCAAGAACAAAAAAAAAACCGTTCTTATTACATAGAAAATGTGTAAGAACCCAGTAACTGTAAAAACTAGGCTACAGTAACAACAGCTGAGCGTTAGTAGTAAGTAATACAAGTATCAAAACTGTTCCCACCACTGATGATTCAAATATCTGGAGATCAAATCTAAGCATGACGGTAATGATGTAGTTTATACAATAATACCTTACCAGCAGCATTTCCCACGGCCATGTAACCTCCTTCAGGACTGAAATCCAAACATGAAGGGTATTGAAGATTCTTCTTTGGTGGCGGCCAGTTTGAAAATGTTGTGAAAGAAGGAACGTGTATCAACTTCAAACTACTTTTTTTCATCCTTGAACAGATGGCCAATATTTGAGCATCGTGATTGAACTTCAGAAACTCTACTTTGGTGGTCAGATTCTCGATGGCTTTCATTGGCTTCTTCTTGCCCCCTAAGAATTCTTCTCTGTTGTAGATGTTAACGATGCCACTGTCAGAACCAGCTGCAAACAGTGCTCCATTAGGTGAAGTGCCAAGTGCAGTACCATTTATGCAACCTTCGTCCACACCCTTGTGGATGCACGTTCTTGTTCTCAAATCCCAGTGGTAGACTTGCCCATCACCCCCAGAGCTCAGTAACTGAAATCCATTGTCAGTAAACGCCAAAGAACGTACGGTTCCGTTCATCTTAAGTGTACCGATGAGCTCCTTTGTTTTGGTTGACACTAGCAGGATATAGCCTTCGTTACCTATAAAGGCAACTGTGCTAGAATCAGGAGAAACTTCAAAAACCTCAAGGCTTTTCTCCTCTCTACCAACGAGAGGGCCAATTTTATCAACTTTTGCTTTCACTAGATCGAGGCTATAGAAGAACCTCCTCCTCCCAGATATGATTACCTGAGATCCATCAGGCAAAAACGATGCCTTTCTTATGGGACAATCCTCAAGAAAAATGCTCTGAATTTTGGTATTCCGTTTACCATCGATCTGAAAAAATCTAAGCCTCCGATCCAGCCCAGTAGCTAGCAGTAACTGAGCATTGCGATGAAACTGAACCGAATGAATAGGACCATTAGATGGCTCCTCTGCATTAGCATCTACAAGTCTTGAGTATTCAAGAAGACCGGGCAATAATTTACCACCACTCTTCTCTACAAGATTGTCACTCGTTCGAAGGATATCATCAATAGAATCAACATCATCATGACCATCGGCCATAACAACTGCATTTTCATCATCTGATGATAGATCATCATCATCACTACCACCACTGGTTTGTACATCAAGTTGAGCCCACTCAGTGCTTGGATTTAGCTTTGCATGTTGAGCCCTCAGTCTGGACACATACTCGGAGCCTGAAATCGATTTCTCATCCTCTTCCTTCCTCAATTTTCTCAGCCTACTAACATTAGTAATATTAACAGTGGCCTTCTCCTCTTCCTCGTCAATCCAGACTGGTTTTCTTTGCTGGGGTTCCTCCTCATTAACACTCTCGTCTAGGAGCCCAAAATCACCTTCATATGCAGAAAGGGAGCTATTTGCAGAGCGGTCCATTATATACAAAGCAGGAGCTTCTTTTTCCTCACCACTCAAACCGTTTACCTCTTCATGTTTCCCAAATTCAGCAGGGGAATAAAGTGATCCAAATAGAAAATTTTCAAGCTTCTTCATTTTCTGTTGTTGTTCTTTTACCAGTTGTGCATCTTCTTTTTTGTGTTCTTTCTTTCTCTTTTTTGGCCTAGTAGTATCTGCACCAGAGATTTCTACATCACTAGCATCTAGGTTTCTCAAAGGAGATGACGAGGCAACAATTGTCTCCCCTGTAACCTTCTCGAGACTACTAATTGCAGCAACATTTTGAGATATTAAACTCATCTTCCACTCAACTCCTGCAAAATCAACCATATCGACAGCTTAACCAAAACTTGATAAGAAGTAAAACATCTCATAACCCAAATACTCAGTACATCGAGAGTCCTTCACAGAATGAGCCGATGCATTATCAGTGTAGGCTACAACAGACTCAACAAAGGTAGAAACTCTGATTCCTGAAAACCCATTTACAATCTATACTACGTAAGGAACTATAGGAGATTTTGCCATTTTTATTTCATTGAGGATTTTTACGAGTGTTGGCTAAACATGAAAATCAGAACAGCCAATACACAAACCACGTCCCACTTTGACGCAAGGCTGCTTTCATTTTCGTTACTATTCGGCAATTCTTATTCAGAAAAGAATCCTCCATTCTTTCATTAAACAAGTTTTAATTTGTGTTACCCAAGTGAGAATAAAGACATATATGGAGATTGAGAGAATACCTGTAGCAACAAAGGAGTAGAAAAACAATGCAAAACCCTTACGAAGGAGGAAACTACGGTGCCACGGACGGAAGAAAGACAATGGCGGCGGCGGCGACACCGAGCTGCTGAAACGGAGGAGGAGAGGACGAGGGCGTGAAGAAGAAGGGGAGGGGAGGGGTTAGGTTTTCCATTCTTTTATTCTTTTTTATTTTAATTTACAAATGGGCTCGGTTTCGTTGTATTAACTATTAAGAAAAAAGTGGGCTGAGCTCTTTTAAATAATAATAATAATAATAATAATAATAATAACTTTCAATAATATGTCTTTTTTAAAGATCAATAATTGGTTTTAATTTAAGATTAAATTAAAAAAAAATCACGAAGTTTAATTTTTATTTCAATAGTGACTCTCAAGAGTAAGAGTTAGAGTATGAAATTGACCATACAAATTCAATCAAAATGATAAGACTTGGAGTATGAAATTGAGCATCCAAATTGGATGAATATTCTCATTGGTCCATTATTATAAACCACCAGAGAGCAGCAATCTTACCTACAAAGTGAAGCACTTAGCCAAAAAAGCATTTAGCTAGAGAGAAATCGAAAGGATCCTGTATGATCTTTAATTTAGAGTATTGCAATCTCCAAGAGACGACTTTTGCTCGGCTGTGCTTGTATTCTTTTAGAACACACCCACAACCACCAGAATTTTAACATTGTAAAATGGCCAACTTTTGTTGCAAAAGGCCCAAGGGAATGAAAAGACCAACTTCACATAAACACACCAAGCAATTTAATTACTACAGAAGTAGACCATATTGTATACACACAAAGATACATTATACATTATATCTAATTTAAATTCATTCCAACCAACCCCATCAGCTATCTTTGGATAATATAAACACACCGACCCATCTGTCCTCAAAACCAGACCATATTAATTTGCAAAGCAGACACGAATCCATTTGGTTGGAAACATTATAGGTGAAGTTAGCCTTTGTAGTTCTTGCACTTCTCTACATCCCTTGGTGCTGAAACCCCACAATCAAATTAGTTCAAATACTAGATTATATGATTCAATTTGAAGTTGAAGTCAAAAATAAAAAATAAAAAAAAGAAATGCAAATCTATGAATCTCACCAAGTCCAACGGCTTCTTTTCCTTTCATTATGCGTAGACGCTTGCAAGATCCAACAAACATCCTGAATCATATCCAAACACAGTCGTATGATAAAATAAGTTTGAGTATTGGAAGACCAAAACCAAGTATTTGAAATATAATGGCCGTTATGCAAGAAAAAATAAGACTTACTGCCATGGAACATCACCAACCAGCATCCAATCACCATCCCTGTCTTGATAGGTTGGAACATAATCAGAGCCATTTAAAACATCTATTAGCTTGCTTTCATTCATGAAATCTTTCATCCCACCTGCTTGGGATCCACAGTTTCCTTATGAGATACATCACAAGAAGAAATCATCATTTGCATTTTATGGTAGGAAAGAGTTTTAGAAATGAAGAAAATTTACCAATGGTGAAAGGGCCAAAGAGTTTCGCGAGGGCATCAGAGAGTTGTTTGTAGCTGCTGTACGTGCTGAAGTCCACTTTGCGAAGATAAGGTGCTCCATCAAGGCTGACCTTCACGAACCTGACTGCTGCTGCGTTCCCAATATTCTTCTGTTCATCACTAATTATTTCATCCTCAGATGTGGTGCCCTTTTGGAGGCTCAATCTGTTCTTTCTGTATGACCTTATTGGTGGCCATCCCACAACCTGTTCCCTGCAAATTTAAAAGTTTTCACCAATAACAACCTTCCACACTTTTCTTCTCCTACTTTTATCACCCAAAAAAACCTTTATCCAACCAAATATATTGTAATATGTTGTTAGTTAAGAAAAAAAAAGGCCAAGTCTCGTGTATTTGAGGTCAGAGCAAAGGAAAAAACAAGATACTTACTTGGGTGGAGGGGGCTTGGGATTTGGATCCAATCCATAGGATGCTTCTAACTTCAAATCTGCCATTGTTACCATTGTTTCAGCTGCTGTTTCAGGGAATCCTCTCTTCCTGGCCATTTCTCTTCCATTTCCAGGCAACCCCAGCCTCAGCTCTGTCTCCTCAAACGACATCGTTTCCTTCTCTCTCTTACAGGAGCTTTGAGAGCTTGGTGGCTGTGTGTTGTTCTTGGTTGAAATGATAACAATAAAGGTACTGTATTTTAAGAGGGAATTGTTAGGGTACCAAAATTAACATTTCAACAGATATCCATATAATGATCAAAATCATAGCAAAAATTCTTGACATTATTGGTCATAAATTCCATGTAGCTGAATACCTTAAATGCATGAACTTGATATGCAGAATAAATTTAAAAGAGAGAAAACATTGGTGCCTGCAATGAATATTAAGCCCACCAAAATTAATGAGATAAGAATAACAATAATTGATAGGAGGAGGAGTGGCATTGCAATGATGGGTGTGAAAGAGAATTGTGTGGTTACAACAAATTTCCAAATTGAAGAATATGCATGGCACTGGGCCTCGATAGTAACCCTACACATACCTCCAAACAAATTATCCTTCAAAATCCCATGCACAGATAGAAGCACTTTTCATAACTTTAATGTAATACTTTCATTTTGGACCATTGGGAAAAAGGTACCCAACAATATCAAACTCTTGTTTGTGGTACAAGATGTTCCCATTATTAATTGCTTTACCAATTTGATGATCGATATTCACACCTAGCTCTCTACCATTTGGTTAGTATCTACTTGGTTGGCTTTCTTTCATTTTCCTTCCAACCTTCTTCTTTGCTTATTTTATCTTGTTGTACCCATGTTATACTCTCTTTGACACCACCGTTAATGAAAGAGATTTTATACTTGGAGGTGTTAGGACAGCTGTTTATGAGAAAGTTGATCAAATGGGTTAGAGATTTTGGGAGTAGGGTTGTCTCCTTCTCCAAAGTGTCTGTGGTACAAGATGTACCATTATTAGTTGGTGTAGTTAGGAGCACCTTTAGAAGAAGCGATACTATAGAAACAGACAAACTCTACCTTTCTTCTGATTTTGTGAACAAAGCATTACCACACAAATGGATAATGTATACAAACAACTAATGATTTAAAATCAAACTCAATATCAGAACACATAAATGACTGCTACATTTGCTGCTTCATCCATTTCACAGATCATTTAACACTATGCTCAATATCTTTAGGTAAAAATCATAATAAATATCAAAACGTAGAAACTAATGAACCATTTAGATAATGCATTCAACATGAGAAACAGAATTCACCAGCTCAATGTTGTCTAAAAATTTCAGCCTTCCCAAGAGGAACATCCGGAACAACAAGCCCTGCAAGAAAATGCAATGTAACTACAAATGGAGCTTTGTAAACCAAGAGTTATCATATATAACATGCAATCCCCTAGATTATCAAGTAATGGAAAGAAAATGAAGATTATCAACCTGGGTATAGTCCAGTTTCGATTCTCAACGGCGGCAGTAGTGAGCTCTCATTGCGCCCGCGCTCGGTTTGTCTCAAAATGGACATAAAGGCAGCCATTGGGCAGCCACTGCTTTGTCGATTTGCGAGAAACCAGGATAAATTTTGGCGCCTAAATGCGCTTTTATACGCTGAATTAGTTAGTCCGGTTTTTGTTTGGTTCGTCAACAAAAATTGATTGATGTGAAACAGTAACAAATCCACCATGGTGAAGGTGGTGGATTATTAGACACGAATTACAAAATATATTTCCCATAAATAATTTCCATTTTACTTTTATCAATGAGATTTAAGTAAAGCATTTTGTTTTTGTTTTTATTAATGCCTAGTGAATTCTTTGATTTAAAATTCAATTTTATACATTTCGAAAATTTTGAGATTTTTTCTTATCAATTCCCTCTTCATTCATTCTCTCATCCATATTTATTATTATTTTTTATTACTATTAATTTGTTCAAATCTAAAGCATTTAACGCCAAACAATTTTCAAATCTACTCCATAATTATATCGTTACCAATTGACCCTCAGTTATTTTTTTCTTTTAATTATAGCCAAAATTAAAAATTTGAGACGCAATCATGCAAGAGGGTGGATGTGTGTTCATTCAGATCCCCAAATCTGGGGAATAGAGTGTGAATAGCGCAAAAAAATTGAGTTAGACCGATACCTTTTACCTTTGCTTTGCTTGGCTAAGCAAAAGGGGCAGAATCCCTATGTCTAAAAAGAATATGCAGCCTGCCTTGCCTACTTCCAATAAACCTCTCTTTATCAACATTTCATCACATGCAGATGTTTATTATTTACAACTTAACTACGTGAAACAACGAGGAAGAACATCAAGTTGGGTCTCTCTACATATATATATGCAATGTATGCGCACATTTAGCTCCCTACTACTAGTTTTAAATATCCACTCATCAAATGAATTAACAAAAAGCATACTAAACTTGTAACTTGATATTTATATCATATACATATCCTTTTTTCTCAACGGTGGAGTAAAAAGGATACGCTAGCAAGTAACCCATCATACAATCGAGAAAAAGAGAGTTACCCGATATTGACCAAGGCTCTGCTTTTTCTGTTTTTTTCCTTTTGCTTTCTTGTTTTTAAGACATTCCTGAAATAGAAGCACGTCAAGCAAAAGTAACACGAGAAGAGAACTCAAAGCTTATTTAAAAACACTATTTTGGAAGACATTTATATCGTGGAAGATACGTGGGTACCTGACTTGGGAAACTTCAAGGGATTAGTTTGACCCATGATACTAAGAACAACAAACGCGTGGCAGATCAACAAACGCGCTGGGACGACAGGATCATTAAACAAGTTCTTCGCCCTCGTGATGCAGAGACCATTCTTAATATCCCTTTGGAAATTGGTTTAGGAAATGGAAGTGAACCTTTCCTTGACTACTTCGGCATCACAATTCAACAAAATAGAGACCCTTAGCGTTGGGAAACCAAAGTCATTCTCATCTTGCAACTTCGGTAAATATTGTTAGTTTTTGTAAGATCCCTAGAGAGAGAAACAAAGCTGCCAATGAGTTAGTAGCTTTGACATTTTTCTTCTTCAGTCTGGAAAAGAGTTTTGTAGCTTCTGTTTTGTCCCTCATCCTTGAGGGGGGTATAGTTGTGGCTGTTGGTTTGGTTGCGTTTCCTTCAACG